TAATAATTAAGGATAGTCTCAAATAAACAGCTGACCAGATGAACCAGAATGTATCAGATTAAGGGCACAGAGACCGAGAGGGTGTGGTTTGGTCTCACTTTCGTGACTTAGTCGTGTTGTCAGAGCGATTTCGATTATTGCATCTTGTCCGGAGGGGTCCTGATAATTTTCGGCATCAGAATCTGCTAAAGAGTTGCCTTTTTATTTCTTTGGTTTATGAGTGTATCAAGTACCAAGTTACACGATATTACAGAAGCTGGAGTCCGTCGGCCCAACAAACAGGTGAAAAGCTCTATCTCTTTGCTGTACGGCCAAACATTGTGACCAACGGCCTGGCAATGTTTTAGTGTCCCTAGGCCGTTATCGATCTGCGATCCGGTAGAAGTTAGGCTTGACAGGGATGGTCTTCTGTCCCATCCTCATTTCCTTCGCTTGCCTTGTCTCCGGATCGTTGGACCGGACCGGATAATTTAATCTCAATGTTGCTGTAAATACGTCGAAAGTGTGTGAAGATTGGAGGCTGTCTGCGGCGATGAAGAAGGGATGAGGGGCCGATGGAGACGTGGCAAGTGGAGGGGGACCGAGGATGAGATGGGCATCCAACCGAGGGAGCCTGGTTGACGTGATAGTCGGGTTGCTCACCCGTTTTGCAGACAGTTGTGAAATTAAGGGAAAGTTGGCTTTCCCGAGAGCAGGCCAACGTTCACTCCTCACCTGTCCCAGCGTTTGTTAGTCCATGTTGAGCAGACCGACACTCCTTTCGTCTGGCGAGCCAGTGGGAGAGGCGGAGGCATGACTCTGCCAGTCTGGGAATTTCAGGCTTCACCTGTTCTGGCCAGAGGACGATGTGCAAGTGGAGCTCGCCATCCGCTTCCCTCGGATCTGAGGGGCGAAGAAACCAGACGAGTGAACACCATTTCGGGACAGGACAACACAGTCTCACTCGCTCACCTTCCACCCCCCTGACGGCCATACCTTCTCCAGACCGGGCGGGTTGAGATTCCCTGGCCATTTTGGTACCGACCCCAGCCTTTGGGCCGGATAGCATTTTACAGGTCTGACTTTCGACGAGAAACAATGCGCTGGACGTGTCAACAGTTTTTCATTGGCGATACCGGCCTATATCCGTCAATCTATCTACACCTTCCATGTTTCCACTATAGCCAACCTTTCTATCCATCTATCAACCTCTTCAAAATTATGACTGCACGTTTGTGGCGATTCGACCGAGTCCGACTAGCCATCTAGCCAATTACTATTTGTCAATCAGCTTTATCCAGGATCTTTTCCTGTAGTTTTCCACTTGACCTATGTTACAATATTTCACTTGTAACCTTATCAATCAACCCATCACCCATCCCTCCAGCTATCCGCTATCCATCCACCTATGAATGAATTTATTCATGGATGGTTAAATAGAGTGATTGGCCCATATTGTGGTGTAGAAAACGGATTGGTGGATGCGTAGATTTGTATAGATTTTAATATAGCTAGATGAATAGCTAGATGTATGGACAGCTCCAGGGAAAAAGTATTGATACCATAAGCGGAAGAATGGTTAATGGTCGGATTGAATAACTGAAAAGTGAAAACATACAATAGAGCTCAAATGAACAATTTCATGAAAGGATCATCGTTCAA